TGACTGACAGAGTACACACATAGGGAAGCATTAATCTAAAGGGGAAGGGAATATATTACAGCATGCTAATAGTGTAACTTGACTGCAGAAAATTAGGCAGAAGCAGGCAAGAGTGAAAGAAACTTAAGCAACTAAAGAAACATGTTGTTGTTGAGCCTTTAAAAATTAACTAGAACATACTAGTAGAGAAGCAAAGTGTAGAAAGGTAAAGCAAGCAAGATTCCACAGTCTAGCCTTGGCTTTCAACCGACTAGACAAAGCAGTAGCACAAGTAGTAGTAAAGAAAGAGAGAGTTTTTGAGTGTAAGTGTGTGTTCTGAACTCAAATTGTACGTGTCTATGATAGAAGAGGGGTAGAGTATTTATAGTTTTGAAAACGAGTGAAGAACAAGGTAATAAGTAAAGTCTTAACACAAACATGGAAAGAATCACAATCAGAATCAATTAACACAAGTGATTCCCTTTAATTAAGGAATCACAGCTTAACGGATACTGACATGGTTAACTAAGGAAATAAATCAGTTTGGGACAGATTGATTAATGCCATATAAGGGGGCAGTAAAATGTATGGAGTGAATAATTGAGACTAAGTACAAAATATGCTTAGTTTTGGGAAAGGATTCAGCAAGATCAAACATCACGGTAAAGGAAATGAATCAATTAATTTTAAACAAATGAGTACAAAATTAGGGTTTATAAAGGAACCCTTTGCGATCAGTCGTAAGATTGAGGAAATCAAGATCAATCAAGAGAGAAATATGATTCTGCATTTCAACATATAAATAGAATGAACATAAGTATCAGACATGCAAGGCCAAACACATTGGCAAAAGAAACAACACAAACATACAGCAGTAGCAGGAATAAACTAGGATTCAGTAGTAAAATAGATCTACTCGAAGCACAGTAGTCAACAGGGTTAAGTAATCACATAGAATCAGAAGTGAAGAAAACCATAGTAACAGGTAAGAAAGTTAGAAACAAGTAAAGACCTTCAGACACATAGTAATAAGTGAGGAAAATTCTTTTAAGAAAATAGGGCTTCAACAGTAGTCGAGTTTAAGATGTGATAAGGACTCAGAATCAGATAAGTCAAACAAGGAAAAGAGAGTCAGAAACAAAGAACTTAATCGAACAAATATACATTCAAACAAACAAGGACAGTTTCAGAATTCGGATAAGACCAAAAGACGTAGGGTTTTCAACATGTTGAATCAAGTAGAAGGAAAGCATAAACAAGTTGTTTGAACATAGTAAAATCATAAAACAACACCAAAAATTAGAGAAGAGATCTTTAAAAGAATTTAAGATAAACCCTACTCGTTGAAAATGAAGAGATATTTTGATAGAAAAATTGAAGAACCTTCGAGAAAACACTTAAGAAGTTCATAATAAGTACAGATCTAAGATAGATCTGAAAGAAAATCAAAAGACCTTAAAGCTAGGGTTTCAAAGAACCCAAAAAAGTGAGAAAGACTTTGAAAGTTACCGATCTAGTTAGAAAAGTTGAGGATCTGACTTGAACGACCAAGGATGGCCGGAGAAAGGCCATGGATGGTCGGAGAAAGGCCATGAATAGAGGTTGACCAAGGACTGGACCAGAGTTCTTCGAGACCTGTCCATGAAATCACACAAACGGGCTACCAGGAGATGTAAGAGGGCAGTATACATCTCAAACGGCCATGGAAGACCATGGATTAGGTGGGGATTGAGGTGGATTAGGGTGGAATTGGGTGGCGGAGGCTACGGTTTATGTGAGGCTGCAGAGAGAATTGAGAGGGAAGGGATTCAAGGGTGGCGTTTGGTGAAAAGTGAATTAGGTTAAAGGGTCATTTGGGTTTAATTATGGAAGGGTGAATGGTGGCTGTTGATCTGAATGATCAACGGCCTAGATTAAAAGGGTAGGTGGGGAATCCGGGTTTGGGTTGGCTGAAATTGGGTTGGGGTCGGGTTTAATTGAAATTGGTCCGGGGAAATTGGGTTTGATTTGGGGTTAAATTTGGGCTAAAAATTAAATACAAATGGGTTGTTATTTAAATAGCCAATTTTTCCTCTTTAAATTATAAAAAATAGTATCTAAATTTCTGAGAATAAATTGAAAGCACTAAAATGCTTCACAGCATGTAAATAACAATTTAAAAATATAGAGCTTAATTTTATGAATATAAAACACAATTAAATCTTAAAAAGGCTAATATTGTAACTATATGCAATTAGCTTTAAAAAATACCTAAAAATCACCTTAGCCATATTTTGGTATAAATATAAAAATCCAATAAATAAATCATCAAAAATAATAGTTTTTGACATAATTATTGGGATTTTATGGATGAAAAATGGGAAATAAATCTATTTAAAAACCTTTAAAAATTATGAAAAAATAATAAAATATTTGGACATGCTAATGTATGCATTTATATGCTATTTTAAAGTTATTTTGCATATTAAAAATATATAGGAAAAAATTGGGTATCAACACTAGGTAGGGGTCTCTCCTACGACTCCGATTGGGCCCCATCTGCTGGGGGTACCCTGCTAGTCCCCTCATCTACTGCTGTTTCTCTCCTCTGGCTAGTCATAGCCTTCCTAGTTACCATCATCTGTGCATGCAAATATCAACGCGTAAGATTAACTCAAATTTCCTATAACTCAGTGCTACATCACGATTTAGATTTGAAAGAAGGGTAACCAACTCCTAAATGCATGTATTCCCTTGCTTATATAATGTGGTGCACCACACATATATAAACAAGTCCCTACTAGACACGGCTTGTAGACTCCCTAGGACAGAACTGCTCTGATACCACTTTTTGTCACGCCCCGAGCCCGGGGGCGAGATCGGCACCTAGTGCATCATCTATCCTTGCGTACTACTTGCGACTAAGAGACTCTGAACATGTAATGTCATACTTGGCTATGGCCCACATTACAAGATAAAATGCGACACAAAATATTAAACTAAATGGAGACTAACGCTGACTAATGTCAACATAAAGCTGGGCCGACAAGGCCATCATAATTACTACAACTGACAAGCCAACAAAATATATGTACAGGGCCTACAAGCCCAACATACTGCACTAACTGACAGGATATATCTACAAGCCTCTATTGATAGATGTACTATGATCGGAACAGGCTCCGACCTACCCTTAACCTATCTTCATATATGCACAAGATGTACTCCAAACTGCTCGACCCGGCAACTCCGAAATACGGGGAGCTTACCGATAAGGCTGAACTCGGGAATATACCTACTGAGAAGGTCTACTCGTTTGTATGTCCGAGCCTGCACGCATGAAATGCAGCGTCCCCAGAAAGGGACGTTAGTACGAAATAATGTACTGAGTATGTAAGGCTGAAACTGAACTGATAATATAATAACTGAAAACAACTGAGAGTCAAAGAAAATCTGAAGATATGCTCATCTACTGATACTGACTCAATTCTCTCAATATAGTGAGTAAAATAGTTGTCTGGCCCTATAAGGCTCGGTATACATATATATTTGTTTTGTCATAGTAGGCTCGCTCATAAGCGCTCGGCATACTAGGCTCTGTATCTCGACCAACTAAGCTCGCCCATAAGCACTCGGCCACAGTAGGCTCGGTATATAACTTACCATCTGATCAGAGGTTGCCCAATAGAGGTCTGCCTATCGATTATAGCTTGATGGCAATGAAAATACTTTTAATATTATATATATGTAAACTCTCTACTCTTTTGACCGAAAGAAGGAAATACTCAGCTGAATATGCAGTCCCGATAAGAAGAATATGGTAACTTACAAAACTAGGAAAATATATGTAATTTGCGAGACTAGCAAAATATACGCAAATTTCGGGATACGAATTTTTATTTACGCCTCGTTATCGAACTTGTGTAATTACGATATCATGCTAAAATGAAGGAAAAGCTTAGCCTAAACATACGTGGAGTGGGAAAAACTCCGTATACTATTTCGTTGGAAAACATTCGTTGATTAAACAAAATTTGCCTCTGCTCCTTAAGGATTCACGATGAAATTTGTTTCTGGTTCCTAAAATTTGGAACGAATTTGATCTGATTTGGAGTGAGGCTTGGACGTTTGGTCGGAGCTTGAAATTTCTTCTGGTTTTCACGTTGGTTAATGACAGAATGTAACAGTTGTTCTTGGTCTTGAAATGAAATGAATTTAAAGTCACCAAAATGAAGCTTTTTTTTGAAAATGGAATTTGCTTCTGCTTTCAACTCCCTGGGCAGATTATGATCTTGAAGTTTGTTTTCAAGGCATTTCTACTAATGTCATGGGATAAGATTGATAAAGCTCACAAAAAAAGTCATGATAAGACTTTGAAATTTAAACTTTGACACATGTAAAGCTCAATCAATGACTCACCTTATACTAGGGGGGCTGCCACGTTACTCTTTGGGGGGGTAATTTTGTTAATTTATCTCTTTATTAGTTAACCGGGTAATGTTTCATTGACCGGTAACTAATCTATTACCCGCATAATTTAAAAATTATCACAAATTACTTAAAATTTTATTTATTTTCAAAATACTTCATATATACTTTATATATTATACTACCGTGGTCATATGATACCTTGCATGGTAGTAGTTTATAATTATCGGGTATTATTACTTGATCCGTATTTTATCCCAAATTGGCCATTTTCAACGAAACTCGTTTTCTCTAATTTGTGCATACTTTATCCTTCATGACACTTATTTATCGCTTGTTATAAGTAGCGTAAAAACATTAACGTCAAGATTATCTCACCCCCGAGTCTACGTCAATTAATTGGAGACGAAATTTTAACGTATGAAAAACGCGAGATGTAACACAATTATTCTTTATTTCTTAAATGGACAGATTCATCTATCTCTATTGTGGCAGTATATGCCGACGATATATTACTAACAGAGAATGATACAAAGGAATTGACTGAATTAAAAGAATTTTTACATCAGGAGTTCAGAATCAAGGATCTTGGACACCTACATTATTTTTTCGGAATGGAAGTTCTACGAGAGTCTTATGGTTTGATTCTATCTCAGCGGAAGTTCGCCCTTGATTTACTGCAGGAATTTGATTCTCTCCACAAGTCGCCTGTTTCTTGCCCTCTTGACCCATCTGCTCACCTACTTGCTCAAACTGGTGACTCTATCCCTGACCCGACCTTGTATCGCCATTTGTTGGGCAAACTAAATTACTTGACATACACAAGACCGGATTTATCCTACACTGTACAACACCTTAGCCAATACATGCAGGATCCTATACAACCTCATCTCAATGATGCACTTCATGTCCTCCGCTATTTATTGAAGGATCCTGGACTTGGGCTCTTTATGTCTTCCTCACCTTTATACCAGCTCCTTGCCTTTTGTGATTCCGACTGGGCCACTTGCCCTAATTCGCGCAAATCCGTCAGTGGCTTATACATCTCTCTTGGCTCATCCCCAATTTCATGGAAATCAAAAAAACAAACATCCATTTCTCTCAGTTCTGCAGAAGCTGAATACCGTTCAATGCGACGAGTTGTGGCTGAGCTCACTTTGTTGGTACGCTTATTTGATGATCTTTCTATCCCAATTTCACTTCCTGTTCCTCTTCATTCGGACAGTCAGACGGCTATTCATATCGCAAAAAATCCTGTTTTTCATGAAAGAACTAAACATGTCAAACTAGACTGTCATTTCGTTGGACAATAGTTCCTCGTCGGCCTAATTTCACTCTCATATGTTCGCTCCTCTTCTCAGCTCCCAGATCTGTTCACCAAGTCTCTCACAGGGCCGATTCATCACCATCTTTTGAACAATTTGGGTGTCCTTTCATCCCCCTCCAACTTGAGGGGGGTGTTGGTGTTAGAAATGAAAATGAAGCTTCTCTCGAATTCTCTGATGAAAGTATGAAGAAAGACAATAGAGACAAAATCGGCTAGGTTACTTATGTTTTGATTTGTGTCTGAGAAGGGTGTATATCTTAAGGAAAGGATGGGTCAGACCTTTTTGGACTTGGACTCAACTCTAAACGAGCCTCTTTTGTTTTGGACTTAGTTCTACATCAAATTGGCCTTAAAGCTTCAGTTATTCAGAGAAATACACACACAAAATTTTCAAAATTCATTCTCTTCAAAATTAAGATGCAACTATTTTCCTTTCCCATATCTGGCTAGTTTAAATTTTAAATAGGAGATAAAAAAAAAAAAAAAAAAAAAAAAAAAAAAAAAAAAAAAAAAGAGGAGAACGAACGATATTATAATATACAGCATTCTGCGTGCACTTTCTTGTACATTTTCAAAAAAAAAACTATCCAAATTAACCTTCAAAATTTATTTTCTTCACAGTTTTATTTATTTCCATCTAGATAGCCTCTTAAATTTGTCGCAATTTGTATACTTTAACTTAGGTTGTGACATGATAGACATTATTATAATTTGCAAATATTGTTTTAAGGATATCTCATATTAACCTAGCAAATTACTAGTGTTTCACTTAAATTTGAGCATATGAGATTATGAGGGGCTCAATATTGTTTTTTCCCCTCTCTTTTCCAAGTAGAATATTTAGCATATTTTCCTTCACACCCTCCTCATTTATCTCGAAAAACCCAAACAACGCAAAGAACATTGCTCGGCCAGTCGAATCGGGTTTTAGCCTATCCAAGCAGTCCGACCCGACAAAAATTTCAAAACCCTAGCTGCCATTTCTGTTCTCCATCATAATACTATATATACATCCCATAAAAACCCTAGCTAAACACCGCCTTCTGTGAACCTCACTGTGTCTCTCACTCTTCTACTGTCCAGCTCCAAAAGGCAGCGGAATTTGAAGAAAATGCCGCTTGTACCTCAAGATTTGTTGCTCTTTCGGCACCTTAACATATTTTGGTGAGCTTTTATTAAGATATATTTATGTAAATGTAATAAAAAAAGGTGACCAATTAGCCAGTCATACACAATCGGCCCCTAATAAGGGCCCATTTTGCTATGTGTGAATGGTCAGTATGTCACCAACAGTAATATTAATGGTGTTTAATAGCGTTAATTCTGGTGAATTGCGTCTAATTCCGCTTTCACTGACGGGCTATTGACACTACATTCTTGTCAATAATCTGATAGAGAAGGGAAGTGTTCATAAATGGAGAGTTAATTAATTAATTAATCTCTTTTGAGCTTCTTTAAGAGCAATTTTGGTTCGACTTTTAACATCATTGCACATTCCTTAAAGAAATTGGCATTAGGGAACTTGTGTGAGATTGTAAATGTGACTGGATTAAATAGGCGAATAGTGAATAGCTTTTAACGTCAATGTATTTTCTATTTCTTATTTTTTGCAGTGTAGATTTCAGGTCTTAATGGAAATATGCATGAAAATTGGGTATAAAGACCGGAAATTGGATTTACTGAACTTGAGGATAAACAATGTTTTTGCATATAGATGGTGAAGACTGAAAGGTTGAAACAAAAAAATTCATTATGAGTTTAGAAGAACGAAAATGAGGTGAGGCAAAAGCTACAAATTTTTCGGCTGAATACATATGCGACCATTTTCGTATAGACACCTCAACTAAGGGTGTGACCTATGACCATTTTCATTTAGACACCTCAACTAAGGGTGTGACCTATTGAACACTTGTACGACGAATATACAACAATAACAACGACGACCTAGTAAAATCTCACTAGTGGGGTCTGCGGAGGGTCGGGTGTACGTAGACCCCCTACCCAGAGGAGTAGAGAGGCTATTTCCGAAAGACCCTTGGCTCGAGAAACGAAAAGAGACAAATATGTACCTATTAAACACATGTTGCTGAGAGTCAAGTACTTTGTCGTTGGAGAGATTGTCATTAAGCTGTTTAATAGGTACAGGAATATAGCTTAAGTGTTCAATAGGTCACACCCTTAGTTGAGCTGTCTAAATGAAAATTTGTGCCAAGTTTAACCTGTAAAAAGTTCGATGAGTTTACAAGAACGAAAATGAGGTAAGGCATCAAGTACCAAAAGAAGGCATTAGATACAGGATTAGTTCAAAGATTTTATAGGATTCTCATGCACTTGCTGTTGTAGTGTAAGAAAAACTCCATTCTTGTAAACAACTTGAGAGATTTTGTTTAATGGTGTTCTCATTAGCATGATTTTGTTTAAACACCAAGAAACGCTTTTGCATAAATTAAATTTCAAATGGGTTCTATTTGGTTTAGACAATTGGAGCTTGAAGAATCAAGGCTGGAAAGTGTCAAGGTGGAACCAGATGCAAAAGATCAATTAATTTGGGGGGAGTCAACACATGGACAATACTCTGTTAAAATTGGCTATATCAATGCTTACAAAACTGACAGAACAGTGGATGTTTGGACATGGAAGTCGATGTGGAAGATTAAGATACCAGTCAATCCGCTGTTGCTTGCTTTTGGTTGGACAGCCATTCTTGAAAGATGCTTGACGCACGACAACCTAAATAGAAGAGGATTTTATCTGCGCAGCAGGTGCTACATGTGTCAAAAAGATGCAGAAGATATTCCTCACCTTCTACTCCACTGTGAAGTAGCTAGAGAGTTATGGAGCGGGCTCTTAAGTATTTTTTGGGTTCACTGGATGCCGCCCTACAACATTAGAGATGCCTATGCAATCCGGGGTCTTTGGAGAGTTAGGAATCTCTTGTAGGAAATCTGGTTAATCACTCCAGCCTGTATATTTTGGTGTTCGACAGAAAGGAAGTACAGATGCTTTGATGGAGTTCTAACTCCTAATCACTCCCTCAAACCTAGGTGTTTGACTAAGCTTTTTCGCTGGTGCAATCTGCACAATGTAAATAGCATAGAGCACATTGATTTTGTTAGCTCCGTGAGCCTTATTTAAGAACTCAATGAATGTGTATTGGAGCTAATCTTGTATTTTGCTCTGCATCCTCTAGATGCTTATCAATGAAATGCTTTATCTAAAAAATAATTGGAGCATGAAGTATCTTGACTATTATTTGAAAATTTTGCGACATGGTTCCTTCAAGTGATGTTTGTTTGAGCTGTAGGGTGTTTCCTTTGTTATATGTCAACTGGCATTGCATAAGGCAAAGATTTTGGTAGCTAAATAGCTAGTCATGAATAGGTCAAATGCTTAAATCTGCATGAATAGTCAGTAAGCTCACCTAGTTGTGGCCTATTATTAGAAACTGATTCGCAAGTTGAATGTTGTGCTGTGACTACAGTAATACCCCAACCAATCCTTATTTTATGATGTTATACTTAATAACTGAGTTTTCTACTTTACTGTGTTGAGTTTGTATGGTTGGATCTCAACTTCATGTGAAACAATAGATGCCTTTTTTGCTTTACATGCATTGAACAATCCTACGAGAATCTGAGGTTCCATTGGATTTTCAGAGTTAACAACGAAATACCAGTTCTTGTTGTCTGGCTCATTGGGTAAAGGGCCTAGTTAAGATGTTAAATGTGTTTTAGAGGAGTAACTTCTACGACTTTGTAGTTCTAATAACCAGGAGCGAAATAGTTTGGTCTACATTGATGTATTTTACCCTTTTGCAGAAAATGTAGTGCCCATGTTTTGGTGATAGGAGTATTTTATCCATTTGTGAATTTATTATGGCGAAACTAAGTATTTGTCAGTAACTTTGTTGCCTACGTGCGTGTAGTATTCGACAAAGCATCCTTCTTTCAGTGTAATGAATTTAACACCACAACTCTTGTCACAAGCATTCTGCATAATTCTTGGAATTAATTGCCTGAAGATGAAACTTGATGTGCTTCTTGAGAGGAAAAGACCTAGATAAGTCCTTTAAGTTTGGGTATAGGAGTATTTTATCCCTTATCTTTGTAAAAGTGGAGGGATGTAGTATAGATAAAGTATAAAATACTCCTATGCCCAAACTTAAGGGACTATCTAGGTCGTTTCCTTTGCTTCTTGATGATCTATCAATGTTGTTGCTTCTTTAAACTTGTTCAATCTTGTTTGCTACATGTTTCTCAATATATTCAATCTGCAGTTGACAGTGCCTGACACAACAAAGGAACTACTAGCTTGCTGGTAAAATAGTTGCAGAAAGAAAAACTTCACAATTAATTTGGGCAACGATACCAGCTTGTATTTGGTGGACTGCGTCGAAGGAGAAGAACCTGAGATGTTTTGAGAGCAAAGTTGCAGCAGTTACAGTTTGTCCATATTCATCTCGGCATTCTATGATCTTCACTAGTTCATCCAAGCACCACTTCAATGTTGCATAATTCTTTGAGAAAATGATGAGAGCAACTTGACACACTTAGATTTTAAGTAGTAAATCTATGTGCAGGTTATATATGATTATTTGCCGCAAGTGATATGCCCGTTCGATCAATCTCCAAGAAAAAGAAATGTGGCCATACAACCAGAGGCGGATCCAGAATTTGATGACTGTGGATGCCACTATTTTAATGCAAGCCGACCACTAATGAAGAAAATTAAATTACAGTGTATATTCAGTCGATTCGATCCGTTTTGGATTAACTCGGTTCGGTTCAATCCGTTTTTGAATTTATTCAATCCAATTTACATAAACGAATATGTGATACGTCCTTCATTCTACATGTAGCTGATTAATATTATATTATATCTGATGCATCACTAAAAAAAAATTCTGTACTTAATAAAATAATATTAGATGGATAAAAAAGAAAATAATTAAATTACATCTAAATAAAATTTGAAGTTCCAGAAAACGATAAAGGAAGCAAATATGCAATATAAATAAATAATAAAACTGGAATTGTACAAAAAAAAATGAATAACAAAGATGAAGAAAATACGAGAAATTAACAAAAGGAGCATTAAAAAAAGAAAGCAAAGGGAAAAAGGAAAATGAGGAACAACTAGGGACACTATTTTAATGCAAACCGACCACTAATAAAGAAAATTAAATTACGGTGTACATTCAGTCAATTCGATCCGTTTTGGATTAACTCGGTTCGGTTCGAGCCGTTTTGAATTTATTCAATCCAATTTACATAAACGAATATGTGGTACGTCCTTCATTCTACATGTAGCTGATTAATATTATATTATGTCTGATGCATCACTATAAAAATTTTCTGTACTTAATAAAATAATATTAGATGGATAAAAAAGAAAATAATTAAATTACATCCAAATAAAATTTGAAGATCCAAAAAATGATAAAGGAAGCAAATATGTAATATAAATAAATAATAAAACTGGAATTGTACAAAAAAAAAATGAATAACAAAGATGAAGAAAATACGAGAAATTAACAAAAGGAGCATTAAAAAAAGAAAGCAAAGGGAAAAAGGAAAAAGAGGAACAACTAGGGACATCCAGGGAACCTCGATCCAGGGAACCTCGACCCTGGATGTTGTGCGTGGGAACTCACTAGTTCAACTATGGCACCTTCACTCATATTTTGACTTGGGGTGCCACTTGTTGGTTATCTACTCGTTTTAGTAGAAAATACTATTGTATGTATATAAAATTTTATCCGAGCGAACGGATGGCGTGTCGCCCTTAATTCCAGATATAAATTCGCCCCTGCAATCAACCAGTTGAGGCCAAATAAGATCAGATGATTAAATAAACAGTACGATCGATGTTTATTGTTTAACTTTTGGTTTAATGTGGAATACATTGTGGATTCTGACAGGTTAATAGGTAGTAGTATTAATTTATCAACTCCTTGCAGGACTAACGGGAGCAACAATATCCTTCTTTTTGCTGTATATTTTTGGCACTTATAAAGCTTTTTTAATGAAATATACTTTTTAACTGATCGAACTTGTCCAATCTTGTTGATCATTTTCCAATGAACTAGCTGACTTTTGATAAATCTTTAAGAAATTACCTAACAAAAAAAGTCTTTAAGAAACTAAAATATAACTTGAAAATTCCTGTGGATTGTATATGTGTGCTTCATCATAAATTGGTTAATTTATAGTGACTGCCTATGTAAACGGAGAAATATGATCTCACTATTAAAAGTTTTTAAATTTCATGAACATTTTCGTGAGATGCTGTGGAAGAATGTATTTTTCACGACATTCACATAGGAACAACACCTCATAGGTAAATATTTTCCAAGAAATCTGTCGGTAATTATCTACGGAATTTTCCACGGACCCTAAAAATGGTAACTCACATGATTTTTAAATTATTAATGACACAATCTCTGGGGAACTTAGAAATAAATTACTAATAATTGTAGAGCCGTCAATATTGGCTTCGCCCGCTAGGCTGGCCCAATCCAACCCGTGATTTAATAGTAAAAATTGCACGGGCATCCTATTTGGTCGCCTCCAATTAACCTATACCCATTTTTTTTTAAAACTTTTAACTTGTACCCACTTTTTAAATAACTTCAGCCCCCTTTCTCCTCCTCCTTCTCCTCCTTCATCTTCATCATCATCATCATCTTCTTCTTCTTCTTCTTCTTCTTCTTCTTCTTCTTCTTCTTCTTCTTCTTCTTCTTCTTCTTCTTCTTCTTCTTCTTCTTCTTTTTTCTATCTAGTCTACTAGTCTAATACCCTACAGAAAAGATGATCTGCGGGTGCAATATGTTTTTTTTGTTGCTAAAAGGTGCAATAGGTTGACTTTGCTTACAAAATCTCTTGCTTAAATGATTTCCATGTGACATTGTGTGACTGCTACCGTTTGAAGGCGAGATATTGCACCAGAAGCTTGTTTTATATCTAGCTTTTACTCCTGGATGATGAACTTCAGGTTTGTATATTATGTCATCGTTCCATTGAAAAGAAAAGGAACTGAGAACTGGGCCATAACAATTGCAGTAAAAGAATCCAGGTAAAAATTATGTGAAAAGAGTGTCATTTGGGGTAGTAAATATATAATGAACTAAATAACTTCAGCTCTATAGCTGAAGTTTCCCGATTACAAAACAAAAACATCAGCTCTAGAGCTGGAGTTCGCTAGTTATATGTCACGACCCCAACCCCGGTCATGATGGCGCCCAACACACTGCTAGGCAAGCCCGACCATTCAACAACATTATCCCAAATTCTTATTCAGATTATAGATAAATATCACAGAGAATTTACTAAGTCATTTCATTCAAGTGTATAATTAATAATAAAATCTGCGGAAGTTCAATTAAAATACCACACCATAGCCCAACAGAATCCGGTGTCACGAATATGAGCCTCTAATACAGAATATCCACCTATTACAAGTCTGTCTAGGAAAAATACGGAATAAAAGATAGAGATAGAGGGGAGAGATCAAGGCTGCGAAGGCCATGCAGCTACCTCAATACTCCCGGATACTGCCTGCTCAGCTAAACAATTCTTCACTTAGCCTGTGGTGTACCTTCATTTTCGCGCAAGGTGCAGGGAGTAATGTGAGTACTCCGACCCAGTGAGTAATAAACATAAATAAAGGCTGAGAATAAGAAATCATGGAAAAATACAAAGTAAACTATAACTGGCAGTTTAGAACAACAAATAGTGAAGCAACAAGTCAATTAAGTCAGAGTACCAAATACTGAGACAGGTATAACAGATAAAAACAAATGCATGANCCCAACACACTGCTAGGCAAGCCCGACCATTCAACAACATTATCCCAAATTCTTATTCAGATTATAGATAAATATCACAGAGAATTTACTAAGTCATTTCATTCAAGTGTATAATTAATAATAAAATCTGCGGAAGTTCAATTAAAATACCACACCATAGCCCAACAGAATCCGGTGTCATGAATATGAGCCTCTAATACAGAATATCCACCTATTACAAGTATGTCTAGGAAAAATACGGAATAAAAGATAGAGATAGAGGGGAGAGATCAAGGCTGCGAAGGCCATGCAGCTACCTCAATACTCCCGGATACTGCCTGCTCAGCTAAACAATTCTTCACTTAGCCTGTGGTGTACCTTCATTTTCGCGCAAGGTGCAGGGAGTAATGTGAGTACTCCGACCCAGTGAGTAATAAACATAAATAAAGGCTGA